AAGTCCCGAGGTGTCTTGCAAGTTTGACGAACGTTCCCACCGTGCCGTCGGAGCCACAAAATGAAGAGACGGCAAAATATCGCGCACTTCTTCGAGAAACCCTTGGCATCCTTGCATCCGATCCGAGAGAGTTGGACTTGGTGTTTTGAAACGAGATATGCATCTCGGTTGGAAGGCCCTCAAATGCGCATCATCATGAAAACTATGCGGAGCGCCCGAAGTGACGCAGTTCGATAATGACCGCGACATGGCATGCAGGATGCAAGATATGACTCATACGGTTATTGTCTCGCATGTGTATATGTATATTTGGCAGTGCTCGACGCGCTTGGCCGCGCTCATTCCGCACCCTAGGAAGTGCATTGTTCCTTGATATCGACCTGACTGCGTGATTATTCATATTTATGCAAAAACCCTCCCGCGAGCCGTCCCCAGGAAAAGCGAGAAATCCCTAGATGCTGCATCGAAGCCTGCTACTTCGGCTCATGAAAAGGCAGTATTCCCACGGATGATGGAGAGAAGAGGTTGGCTCGCTCCAAGTCGGAGGCAATGGTCGCGACGTCAACTTCGGTAAATGCTAGGTTCATCTACATCTCGAGAGTACCTTGGGCGTAGGGGTGAGTGTCTCGCAGGAGAAAATATCGGTTCATGGTGGGGCGGGCAAATACATTCCTGGTTCTTGGACCCGCGAAATCTGCGCGCTGGCAACCTTCGAGAAAAAAGCCTAATGGCGCTCCCAACGCATGCAATCCGACCTTTACTGGCGCATGCGAGCGATCCTCGGAAAATGTCTCCTCCCTACCTAGGAGTTTGAGAGCGGACCGATGCGGCGGCTCTGATTGTCAAGGATGGCAGCCCTTGAACGCACTGGGCAGACTGATGGGTTCTTTGGTGACGGAAGTCCCGCGTATAACGAGCCCCAGATTTCGGAAAAGACTCGTGTATACCGGACCGCGCGGAACGAGGGAAGGTTCGCTATGCGCGGCAATAGGTATTCGCTAGCTTCCTCGTACGCGAGTTCCGTCGGACGGAGGCTCCGCTATACGTGGGACTTTTGGGAATATTTCAGGATATTCTCCGGAAGCGTATCCCCAACTTATGAGGAGTCTTGGGGCGCCACCACTCACGGAATCCAATGACTTCCCTCGGAGGATTCCTCCTAATCAGGGTTGTCCTCTTGCTTCCAGTCCTGGCCGGAGTGCATACGGAGAGGAGACGTCTGAATGAATCGATCGCTCTCTCCGCGGATAACCTGTATCGCGAGCCTATTTGCCTTATCGCATATGCATAAACGAAGCACGATCAAAACACGATCTGGAGAAGAGAGCGCTGTGTTCGGAAAGCAATCATTATCGTGATTTGCCTTCATTAATCAGCGAGAGACCATGCTTTGGAAACGTGACGCATCGACGGCCTAGGGCTCGCTAGTACCTCCGAAGGCGTTCGTGGGGAAGCGGCGGACGGCAGTTCGCTGTAGTTCGCGACCCTCATCTCTCACCATGGGCTAGATTGGTCAACCGATTTCGACGCATACTCCCGGTGCTGCCAGACGAAGTGCAAGAATGTTGCCGGGGGGTCCCAGCTGTTTCTGACGGGCGAGCAGGCCCGGATTCACTTATATTGGATTTTTGAGCGTGCAGCTGAATACTAACCCTTCCCTCGTATTGGACGCGGATCTCTACTCGTGGTAGCGGCCGTGTCGGCCCTATGGGAAATAAGTGATGGAATCTCTTAGGCTTCTATATTTAGTTTGGAGCATACCTACCTTGTTGTTACCATCCCGAGGCGTGTGCCCAAGTGCCCCTCGATTTAGAAACACACAGTCAAGACTCAGCCCGTCAGTGAGTAGAGAGGCAGCCGACCCGCTGTTCAACGTGCTGTGCGCGATAAGCGGGCTAATCAGCGCTGTGTAGGCCTTGCAGACCGGCGAGGTATTGCTGGCCTCCCAATCTTTGTTCTGATTCTTCAGGCTAATTCTAGCAAATTCACAAAGCCTGGTGAGTTCCGGACACCGGAGAGAGATGCTATTCCTCTTTCGAGAACGGGCCCTGCTCGCCGGACAGATCAACTGATCAGCTTTTTCCGAGGGATCGGCTAGCTGCGGGGCAGCACTGCAAGGACATGCGATCTCGACTCGCGGCTTCCATGAAGTTCCACGCAATTCTAGAATTCCGGTCCAGCATGCCGCTACCTTCGCATCGACAAATGTCCACCTCCGATTCTCAGACAATAATCGAGTCGTAGCGAAAGGGTGCCCCGGGCGTTGATCGATAGTTTCTCCTTCTGAAATGACTCTACTGCGCGGGTCTGCGGGGGTACTTGGCCGAAAGCGCTTTCGTCTCAATCCCCCGCTCTTTCCATCGTGATGGAGCTACTTAGAGAAGCCGAAGCTGCCTGTGATTCTCTCAATCATCAGAAATAATCGCGTATGTAGGGAAAGCTCGATTCGTCGGGGAGCGCATACAAAAGTTCGATTCGGTGCCTCATTCGTACTCGAGCGAGACTGCGATTCCAGTGGAATTTCGAGAGAACGAATCGGGCTCGCAGAATCAATGTTTTGTGATTAGAGGCAATCGGCTCCTGCACCCGAATCGGGAGTGAGACTCGCCCGCTTCTCCTGGTGGAATGTCGGACAAATTCTTCCGAATCACACGTGAGTGTCATACCACGTACCTTCGGACCGATGAAATTCTCCAATTTAGATCGATGCGCCAAACACGATGTTATGCACCGAAAGCTCTCAAGCCAGGGATCGGTAGAGGCGAACGCGGGCGCTGAGTTCGCGATGGCACAGTCGCAAGTTGCCATGGCGTCGAACCCGGAATGGCATTGGATGAGACTTTTGACAGGCAGTTCCTTTTTTCTCAGTATCAACCCGAAATAACCTGTGTAGTCGAGTAACTGAAGTAGAGCGCGGACATCGTCCTCATATTCACTACCATACTACTCAACATGGGTATCACTGGCTGGTAGCTACCCTCAAAGGTGGGCGATTTATTCAAAGCCGTGCCACAGGTGACGAGTGGCTTCAAACCTGGAGGTGCGCGGATCGTATCATTTTCCTTGACTCGTCGATTCCCCTTCCAGTCAATGTCCTGATCAGTAGCTGTTTTCCCGGTGAGAACAATCGGTCGGGAACCCTCGGTCGTTCCTGAAATGCATCCAGAGGTGGCACCACATACCGTGGGAAAATTTGATGAGGTCCCGTGACTCGCCGAAGGAAGCGGTGCCCGAGCCGATACCCGCTCTACCCTCCTGCAATTCAGGGGCAACTCGCAGACGACGTCGCGCGGACGGGAGGGGGATCCGGGCGAATGGCCATAATCCTAGAGCGAGGTGACGACTGGGCATGTGACCCATGGTCAGGGAACTGGAGCGGATTCGGAGCCACCTCTCAATCCCACCGAAGACGGGCAGCTAATTTTTCTGTCTCTCAGAGGATCGAGTGGAGCATCGATCGTCTTCTATTCACGCGTTTCATGCAATCCGGCCGTCTAATTCGCTCGGACTCCTCGGGGAAGGCAATCGTAACATTGACCCTTATCTCCAAGAGCAGTCTGAAATAGTAGCACCCTAGAACCAAGAAAGCTTCGACATTACAAGTGCCGGTCACGCTAATTATTCCGAGAGCCTGCGTCCTTATCTTGCCGATCGAAGGTATCTTATCGGAATGCATCCATGATAACCGACAGCCACCGGTGATTGAGAGATCGTTATCAACTCAACACAATAGTTCGAATGCTCCAATGCGAACTCTCGTATTCGCTTGGGTTCCACGGCTCAGTAAAGAGGACATAATCTCTTAGGTGGTTAAATTCTAGCGAGCCTCACCCTGACTTCAACTTTCTATTATTCATTCTCAAAACATTTGTCGGAGTACTCGGGAATCGCGAGGCAAACCGAAATCTCGTGTGATCGCTGGAATAAAGACTCAGCATAGGCCAACGCCCGCTCTACGATCGGGATGCGCGGCGTCAGACGAGAACGAGATGAGTCTCGTTCCAGTCGCCTTGACCTTACTTCTACGATAGCCTACTCTGTTCGGCAAACGTGTGGCAAGCGAACTCTAGGAGTGTGGTCATGATCTCCTTCTTGAGCTCTATGAGAGCCCGAGACCTGACTACTCGTTCCGCGATAGGTAATTCCTAGAAAATGTTTCGAGACCAGTCATGAAGCTACCGGCGAAGGGAAATCTGAGTCGTCACATACCCTTCACGATGCGGCAGGAATGAAGCTTCCAGGCTTCACGTGGTACGCGAATCGGAAAAAACTCACATCATTCTGGAGGCCAGCCTGAGTACCATTGCCGAGATCGTCGTCCCATGAACTGTTTATTGGGAATCGAGAGGGAGCGCCGTCGGTCGATCGATTTTCGCAGAGGCTCCGTGGAGAGTCGGCTTCGAAGACGGCGAACTCATCGTCGGTGCTTGTCCCGGGAGGCTAAAGCGGAAAATCGTCTCGGGCTTAACAGTCTTTGCACACTGCCCCAATCGTGTTCTGTCTCAACGTTCCGGATTTCCGAGAGCTATGAGACTAATACTCAGGGCTCATTTCGAAAAGGTCCGCGATATATGTTGTAGTTGGATGTGACCGACCGATGCGACGTCGTCTCGTCGCAGGAGAAGCCCGAAGAATTCAGGGGGAAGCTGACGACGCGACGTACCGACTGTTTCCCTCATCCTTCCTTTCCAATCTGGACATCTTCATCCCTATATCCGTGGAATGACACTTCGATTACATTCGTCCAAGAGACCCAAGATGACTTGGAGTCAATCGATCGATCGGTAGGTCGATTCTTGTAGTTAAGCAAGACTTGGTTTTCATCGAGCATGAGTCGAGACGCATTACATGAAACACGTTTTTATAGGTATCTCATCTCCCCGCTGCAGATATCTGCAGAAAGATGACGAGCCGGATGATGCAAGCCGGATGACCGAGCTTTTCATCGAAACAGGACTATCGGAGAATTTCGCGTCCTCATTATTTCAAAACCTGATCGAGAATACCACGAAGAACAATGCCTCGAAGACGTTTCATCGAAGTTCGGTGTGATTGAAAATGCTCCGCTGTACATTGAGGTGCTTGAGACCGACTCCTCATCCTGCGGAAGTTTTCCAGGATTCGTCCAGCACACGGTCTATCAGGGAACGGGAGCAGAACTCAATTCGCGGGTTGTTATGCTTGTCGATTGGTTTCTCACGATCATGGTGTTGGATTTCGAGGAAGGAACTCTATATCATGCAAAACGATGAGCGAGTCTTAATCTCGCAGGATTCTACTAAACCTTATCGAAGTACCGCAAGGGATCCTGGACTCTTGCGCGCAGCTGTGCCGAGCCGTGGAGAGAAGAGAGACGCGTGCAGAGATCTTTAAAGAGGTAGAACCGAGCCGAGAGAGCGCAGAGCATGCTTGACCAGACCGTGTCCACCAGTCAGCGTAGAAACAAGACAGCATCTCTTTTGATTGAGAATCCTCCAGTTGGAGCGTGAGTTTAGTCCCGGGCGCTATAAGACGGCACATTTCTCTCGAATCAATCAGGTAAGCCCCCGCTGGATTCGTCATTTTCCTCCTTCCGCTAGAGAGCTCGATGTTGCTCGTTATCCTCACCGCAAGTTCGGGGACCCTTCTGGGGTGCGTCACATGGGAAGACGAACACAAAAATCGCGGTGATTCCTCGAATCTCTAGGGCTATGGGCAACTTTCCTCCGGTCCCAGCTGAGCATTGTATCTAGTAGTGATCTCATCACGTGTCAGTAATAATTGTCAACGAGCTCTAGATAGCTCGTCGAGTCTGCGAGAAGATACTTCCTCGAAGTCTCACTCTCCCCCCGTGATTTCGTGTCAATTTCTGTTTGTGCGATCAATCTATTGGGAAATATGTGCCTCAATATTCCTCTTCACCTATCGGGGAGTGAGGATCATACTTCGATTCGCGGAGAGACAGCTTTTGAGCGAATTCAACGATTCTCTCGTGACGTGATGACGGGCTCCGCAATGCTCGACCCGATTCTCGAAGATGTGCGAAGGAAGAGGTAGTCATAACCTTGAGGACTCATCTCCATCCATCGTACAGGGTGGAGCAGTAGAAATTCCCCATTTTGAATGCTCCCCATGAAAAACGAACCAAGGCGGCTAGCGGAATTCTGCTTGCAGTAGAATGACCGCGAGGACTTGCAGTTTCGGAAAAAAATCCTCTGTTCCGAGACTCTTCACCAGGTGGACGCTCAAAGTTGACTTTTTGAAGTTCAGCTAACGTCATTCTCATAAAGCTCGGTATCGATTTCTGTGGGAAAACCCATTTTCCGAGCTTTCCCGCTGATTGTACTTCTCCAGCTTGGAGATATCGGACCAAATGATTTATTTTCCTGGGAGGGCGAGTCCTCCCGAACATTCTGCCGCAAACAGAACTTCGCTAGCCCTCATGGTTCGGATTCCATGAGCAAAACAAAATGGGGAGAATTTACTGCTCCACCTTGTACGATCTTGTATGCACAATCGTGCTTTCCCCTCTCGATTTCGACTTCGGGAAGCCCTTTGTCGACCATGTCGGAGACGAGAGCCTATAAGCATTTCGACTTCGAATCGTCGCTGAATTCGCCGTCCAGGGCCGTGATTTTAGGTGTTCGAATATAAGCTATCTCCGATTGACGGAAAAGTTCTACTCGCAATCGATTCCGAGATCCTCTCCGCCGATATGACGGCATGCTGTAAGCCAGCGCTACAAGCTTCGGATTCGTGGCCACCGCCGCCACGGAACACTTGTTAGCAATGATTTATCCCATTCACTTTTCATCGAGCTGTTTCTGAGTGCTTCGGCAGAGAATCCTCTGAGGATGTGGGTCTTGACGAGCTCATCAGAGCTTGAGACGTTTCCCAATCTCTCCCCCGGTGTTTCCCTGGGAGCCAATCGCTGCCCTGTGGTCTCAGCAGGCTGCGGATCTGTCGGTCCTGCTGGGGAATTCTGCCGTCGATCCCCCGCGCTGCGCGCCGAATTCAGACCTCAGAATCTGCAGTCTCGTATCCAAAACTTGTGGAAGCAATTCTGGGAAGGCAAGCAAGCTCTTCCGCATCCAATTAGTTTCGGCCGGTAGGTGTGCTCAGACGTCTTAGAAATTCCATGTGTGATTATCGTGTCAATCAAGCGCATATCTCAGTCAGACAGGCATAAAGACGTAAATCTCGGAAAGCGCATTCAAAGAGTCCACGCGTGTAACAACTGCCACAGATCATTGGAATCGGCCGCAATCAATCGGCTCGAAACATTTGTTCCATTCTTGCGCGTTCGACTGAATGTTTCGCTCTTGAGTTTCTCCTAAGAACTATCTTAACGGGTCATCTCCAAGGAGCAAGGATAATCGACATTGAATTCCACTAGGAAGCTGTCCCACTATTCCAGTTGGAGAACCCGGGAGACCGCTTCTAATCAGAACGCGACCCTTCGTCTCGCTTGACTATTCAACAATTTTCCCTCTCGCTGACGCATGTTCCTTCCGGCAATAGTGTTCTTTGCTCCGATCGGTCCGCACAATCACCCCTTTGTGAATCGGCTCGTCGCTCGATTATCGGTACCCTGTGGAAATGATCTGCAGCTTTCGCATAGCCTTAGCGGACAATGGGGGTGAGGACAAGAGCCTGGCGACATAATCCTCAAATGGAGAGATAACGGACTATAGTCGCCTGAACGGTTTGCCCGACATCTGATCCCTTTTCTCGGAGAGCAGAGCTCACCCCTTCTGACTGGGAGCGAACTCGTGAATCCGGAGCTGGAAACCTCAGATTTCGGACCGCTCTCAGCTGATTTGATAGCTGATCTTCCCATCCAGACCATTGCCAGACACTGAATGGCTCCTGCTGCCGATCGGTTCAGCTGCTGTTAACAGGATGGTTCGGAGCGCATGGGCCGCATCTTCCATCTGGCGGAGACTCGCGATCGAGAGGTGGAGAGATGCTCACTCAGATGCTTCTCCACGCATGTGTCCAAGGGTGGTCTCGCATCAGCTGGATGGTCGGTCATTTGTTGGTCGACTGTATCATCTGTCTGTGCGTCCATCTGGATCCTCGAGTTCACATATCCATCCTGGAAGTCTGAACGTTATGTGACGGTGTCGATGAGAGTGGCGTCACGAGAGTGTGTTGCTCGACGCTCTCCGCTGCGCCGCTAACGACTGTTGAGCAACAACAATCTCGTTGCGGAGTGGTGCGTGCAAAAGTTGTAAGCTTGTTGTAAATTGTGGGCAAGAGCGCTCTCTGTAAGTCTCGTTCGAAGGACCACTGCCGCCACAACCGCAGACGCTCGAACGCAATCGGACGGCATAGCTGCGCTCCATCTGCACCAACAGCTGCAGCCGCCGCAACGAGAGCAGCCCCAGCTCTCGCCCATTGCATTGGTCGACGGAAGGCTTAAAGTTGGAAATCCGCATCGCCTTACCATGGGTGCTCATGAACTCGATCATTCGGCAAACAACACCGGCGAACACGGACCGAGAGCCGCTATGGACGATCAAATGCCGCTCGAATCCGCCCAGGAGGCGGTGGCCGGCGAAAGCTGTGAGTGGATTCAAGGCAAATTCAATGGCAGGGTCCGTTTGAGGTTGGGTTGCTTTGTGTTTCGAGAATCGAGTCGCGGAAGTGTCGGAGTCGATGAGCGGAGCCGTTACGACGAGATGTACGACCATGTGTGATCGCCACGACCGGCGAACGGTTCCGTCAAGACTTCGTTCTCGTCCCTTGTGCACGGCCGATGGTGGAACGGCGCGCGGATGACGGCTGGTGCACCACGTCCCCGGGGCGTTTGGGCTGAGATTCCGACCTATGGGTTTATCCTTGAAGACGAGATCCCGGCATCTTCTACATCCACTACGCAAGAGGTCGGATGGGGTCTCGGGACTCCCTTTACGAGCCGAGTGTTCTGTCCATGCGGAGCGCGGACCGCGTCCGACGATAAATGACGGCAGACATTCAATGATAAATCGATTCCGCTCGGTCGTTCCGGTCATCGATAGTTTCGGTCCGAATTTCGCGCCTGAGAACTTCGACACGAGCCACGTGCTGCGTACTGCTTGTGTCCTTGTAGCAACGTTCGCTATCCAAAGACGATTCCCCCACAGACATTTTCACAACAAACAGCTGCTCTTATCCACGAGCTCAATTCCACTAGACTCGATGAATTTCTCCCCGAAGAACAACGCCCCGAGCAGGAGAGCCTCTTGCCCGACTCATGGCAGCCGCAGTTTTTCAAGCAAGGGTGCGTTTCTCCTGGTGCGACAGCCCGCGTAGTCTGGGCCGCCATCGAAACCCCGGGAGATAAGGGAGATGCAGATCTCATGATTCGACGATCACGAGGAGTTGCTTCTCCAGAGTTCTCCTCCGTGTGCCTCGATTGTGTGATGTTTGGTCAATAATAATTAGGAAGCTGAAAAAATTTATATGGGCCCTTCCGACTTTCCAGGTGCGACTGAAGGCGAGCCAGATAACATGGGTTCGTCGCAGCTGAACGGGAAGTCTGGAGCTGAGGGGACCCCCCTGAACGGTGGCAAGAAGAACAAACAGAACTACAAAACGATCATGACACCTCGGTGTATTCACGGGAAAGAAGACTGTGAGTGCGACCAGAAGGACACTGTGGCTTCATACCAGAGCTGGAGCGATTCAGGCTCCGACCATTGCCACGTAGCGTTGGAAGCCTCGAGCACGAACGCATCCGCGAAACGTAAACTCATTGTCGCCAGCATACTCTGTCTGGGGTTCATGATCGTCGAATGCGTGGGAGGCTATCTTGCCAGCTCGTTGGCGATCGCCACGGACGCCGCTCACCTGCTCACCGACTTCGCATCATTCATGATAAGTCTGTTCGCTATTTGGATTTCACAGCGACCAGCCAGCAAACGGATGAGCTTCGGGTGGCACCGGGCCGAAGTTATCGGAGCTCTAACGTCTGTGCTCCTGATTTGGGTCGTGACCGGAATCCTTGTTTTCATCGCCATTGAACGTGTCCTATACAAAGAATATGAGATCGATTCCACCGTCATGTTGGCCACAGCTGGCGTGGGGGTGGTCGTCAACATAATCATGGGATGCGCTCTTCATCATGGAGGTCTCCCGCATGGTCACTCGCACGGTGGCCAGGGTCATGCTGATCATGTAGAAGAAGGACACGGTCACGGTCACGGCCTCGATCATGTCCACGACGCGAACGCGAACATCAACGTTCGTGCAGCGTTGATCCACGTCATCGGTGATTTTCTACAATCTCTCGGAGTTCTCGTCGCGGCCCTCGTTATCTACTTTTTCCCACACCTGAAAATAGTCGATCCGATCTGTACTTTCGCCTTCTCGATAATCGTTTTATTCACCACGATCACGATCTTGCGCGAGACGATCATGGTGCTCATGGAAGGAAAACCGAAGGGTATTGATTTCCATGAGGTGCGGGAGTTGCTCACAACGATATCTGGGGTCAAACACGTTCACAATCTGCGGATCTGGGCGCTCACGATGGAGAAAACCGTCCTCAGCACGCATGTCGGCATCGAGGCGGGAAGCTCTGATTACCATAGGATACAGAAAGAATGCGTCCGATTGTTAAGAGCGAAATACGCTTTCCACGAAGTAACAGTACAAGTGGAAGAGTGGAATCCGAATATGATCGACTGTTCCAAGTGTAACGACATTCCTCTAAACTAGGAGAACTACAATTTTATAATTTTAAAAACAGAAACACAACGATAAGCGGTCTGCGCTTCCCGCGTGGTGGTGAACGAGGCTTTTACTGAATCATCGCTCCCCCCGAGTGCCATGACTGACCAGGTGGATTCGATCGACCATCGGGATGCTCCCACCAAGCAAATAGTGAAGAGGCTAAATGAGCAGCAGAATGACTGAATCAGCGATTCCGCATGATATGACTGAAAATGTGACTATCATTTAACAACTCAGTTTCTCGTGGAAGCCTTTGTAAATATGTGTACATTCAGGGTGAAAGCTGATGCGAAGAGGAGAAATAAATACCGAGGCATCTTTCTGAGAGCCTGCTCACAAACTCGCTCCGGGAGAATCATTGCCATCGGCTGTTTTGGAGAATTGAATATGAGGCTTCGCTTCTGGAGATTCAAATGCCACTCAATTCACCGTGGCGGCAAGCGGCGTCGCCGATTTCGACATCGGGTCACGAAGAGCTGATTAAACAACGAGTCCTCGCGTCGATGCCCGTGGATCACAAGCTGTTGTTTCGTCAAATAATTTTTCCTGCTCTGGAAAAACACATTCCCCACTGTGAATATGCATTCGGTAATGTTCATCGCACCTGCGAGTCGAAAATAGACATTCTTGGACGCATTCGTACATACATATTATTAGCTGTACCGCGCCGAGCAAAGCTCGGGCGAAAGATTCCACGACGGCAGAGGATCAAGGCGTCTCCAAAAAGTCGTAGCCTGGTAAGGCCTCGAACTTGCGGAGGGAAAACTCCGCCCAAACTCCGAAGAGAGTGCTCCGAAGATGCACTCTTCCATACCTATTCTCAGAGGAGAGAGACACGAGCTTCCCTCTGAAGGGCGGAACAATTCTTGATATTATTATCATTGTCATCATAATTACATACAATTGACTCGAATCCTATTCCTTGAAGAAGTAGATTTCTGTCATGACTTTCGAGCCGACCGCGTGGCAATACTCTTTAATTGACGCGAACGCTCCGTTGGACATCTTCCTCCGAGCTAGATAATCCGCAAGGGTGAGCCCGCGCTGTTTATGAAGCAAGAGAGTTTGAGTGATGTCCGTCGGCTCATCGGGATCCCCTGAAAAATTCGCTTCATCTCTCAATTCCGGTTCCATGGCATAAGTATCGAACCTCGTGATTTCCACCCAACCACGGAACGTTATCATCCTGAGATATTCGACTTACGGCGCTCCCTGTCAGGTTCCAGCCGCGAGTATTTCGATACCTCTAGCAATGGAAGGCACTTCTGTATCGGATGCCATGTATATGCCTCGGGGCACAAGAGATCCGAATTGGGTAGTCTCCCCTGAAAGCCAAGCCTTCGAATCAAAACTCATTCTAAAGCTGTTGCATGTGGAGGACTTATCTCAATAACAAATGTACCCGGAAGATCGTCAGGTGAATTTTCGAAATGAGTGCCCCCGATGAGCCGAACTATATGGAGAACTTCTCTGAATTGCAAGGCGAACCTTATAGCGCATTTTTGGACAGGTGTGAATGTAGAAACCCATGTAGTAATATTTCATTGTTGGCAGAGTTTTCTGTAATTCTCGTGTGAGTTTGATTTCACACAATGACGCAAAGGTGCCCAGCGACAGAAACTGGAATTCCGGGTCGTAATAGAAGTAGACCGATGAGACGCAATAAGGCAATAAGTCCAGAACGCCGACGGCTATTAGGCGGTCGTCCAACCAGTACTGATGATGGAAAGACCCCAACAAAGGATCTTCTTCCGGCTGCGAAACAGAGCGAACATGGTGATTCATGAGAAGAAGAAAGGGTGCGCTCAGTCATCATGGGGGTTGGATAAGGCTCGAATGTCTGGGGACTGGACAAACCAGAAGAGGACTGTCGACGAGGAATCTCTTCCAATTGCTGATCGAACATTTATCCTCGGAGTCCTTATGGATTTTCATTTGATAACGTTTGTAGACCGCGTGGCTCGCATCGGTGGTGCGCTCGGCTTCAGAGCTGTACGGAGTTGTTCTCACTAAACGGATCTCGAGCTTGTGTTTACCCCCTGCAGTGAATGGGTGCTTGGTTTGAGCAAGAGAGATGACTATACCGATAGGGGGCTGTGAAATCTGATGCGGAAACGTGGTCGGGTGAGAGACTTACGTGGAAGGTCAAGCCATTCCTCGAAGCTTTTTTCTGCGTTTTTCAATCGTGATTGACTGGGTTGATCCTCTGTTTTCTGTTTCTCGAGCCAACGCTGCTTGCGCAATGCTTTCTTCTTTGTTGTGTAAATATTGTGAAGCTGCTCCCCCTCTCGGCTTTGGGGTGGCTTATCACTTTGGTTGGACTCCCCCGAACTCTTGTTCACTGTTCTTTCAGACTTGATTTGCCCATCACATTTCGATGCTCTCAGGGGAAGATTCAGGTCTAGAATCGGAGCATGCATTTCGACATGGGCTTCAGCAAGGTAACGTCTCTTCAATGTTTCATTTGCATGATAATGTCAACTGTCACCCCACTATATAGGATGAATCGATCCATCGAATACTGAGCGCACACCGTGACCCTCACCTTTGACAACATCACATGACATGTGCCCCTCAACACGAGTTGCTACCTCTCGACAGATCTCAGCTTCGTTTATTTGACAAGCCTCCTGAAGCGATTCGTCATCTTCCCCGACGGATTCGTTGTCCCCGGCTCCGACCGTTTCTTGACGTCCGTTCAACAAGAATTTGTGGAACCGTTTCAGAATTTTCTTGTGTGACTTCGTCGGCTTGAAAGCCAGAGCGTCGCATCTGTGTGGAGCATTCGCATTCATATAAACAGGGACCTTCAGAAACTTTGCAAGGATCCGTATCAGAAATCAAATGATTCTCAGAATACCTCCGGAACCATTCTGGGAACTACCTTATTGTGTAAGACGGACAGCAGGTCTTGGTCATCTCGGGCTTGTAGCAGTACTTTCCAGACCTCCTCCAACCTCGATCGATCAAGTCCTGATAGGTTTGGGCCGGTAGAGTATACGCCCACATACCTTGAGTGAAAATGAGCGAGTGAATCCGAACCTATATCGGCTAGCGCGAAGCTGTCATACGACAACTCGCCTCGGAATCCCGTGAACAGCTGACTGCGGAAATAGGGAGGCCAACCTTTGCAGAAGCTTTCACCTTTGCAGTAACCGCACGTGTGCCCTTTGGAATCGGGGAGCCACTGTATGATGCCGTCGTCCATGATCCCTGGGGGACGAATCTGAACGATTGTGACTCGTCCAGCTTCCTAGACTCTATGGAAACAACGACGGACCATCGGCTTCCCTTCGGGTGTTCGAAATTCCGAGCCGCGAAGGGTTCCTGACAGCCGGCTCCCGTAGCTCCAGCCCCCGCGCCAAAGAGATCCGCGGTCGATGTAGCACTCCAGGACAGCAATGAGCTCACCGAGTTCGCACCATCATCTTTTTGACTGAGTTCAAGTACCGAAAGCACCGTCGCCGGGATCACGAGTCACAACTTTAGACCAGAAATTCGATTTGTCAGGCTGTACGGTGGTTCGCCGTACTTTTGTACGGTTGTTCGTATGGTCAAGATACCGTACGATTGTGCGTATGTTAAGTCTATGGAAAACCCGTACAAGAAGTTCGGGGTGGAAATTGAATCGAAGCGAGATCTGTTGATGGGAGAGCGAAGACGATAATGGTGGTGATCTTTGCTGATGGTTTGAGCGCAATCAGGCGGTCCCTTATATGTTTAAAGCAGCGAGTTTCGGTCTGATAGACCTCGCTTGGATAGCGCTGAATCACAGTGAATCACGGTAAATCATGCTGAGTCACGATGAATCACGCTAAATCAGTGTGATTTAACGTGATCCAGCTGGATTTACCGTCCATCTTACCTTATTCCTCACAACCAGAAAACCATACCATCCCGCCACAAAAGACCCACTAGCCCGGTGGGTCTAGCAAACGCTTTCAAGCGCCGGTATTGAGATAAGGCAACACACCGCTCACACAACACGAGCAGCGTCCACTAGAACGGCCCGCTTACGCGGGGTCCACGTCCACGACATCTTGCACACAGCCGGATGGTCGACAGCCTCTACATTCTAAAACCACTTCCGTCCTCCGACACCATTCCCACTATCCTCCGCTGTGCTCGACTCACAACTCACAACGTCCCAATCGCTACCTGCCCTCGGTGAGCGATGGAGCCAACAAAGTGGAATTGACCAGTCTAGTCGACTCACGGAGTGGGAAGCCTCGACTGAGATTCCACGAGGAGGTGGAATCGTTCATCGAGGGCTCCCTCCCGAACCCTGCCCGAAATTCTAGCCACACTCATTTTGTTCTTCAACAGGTGATCTCGAACATAGGCCATCATCACACGACCCCGGATCCAACGGATGGACCCTTCCGGGTCACCCCATGCCAAGGGGCATGAGGAACGGTGCTTATTTCATGGTTTACGCCTTCGCCGAACAGATTCTCAACACGAATCGTGTCACCCAAGACGGGAGACAAACCTTCCGGAAAGCATGAATAGCTCACACCTATCGCAATAATGAAAGCCGGCTGTGATAAGCGATAAGAGCTTGAATGAACATATCTGATACTAAGAATGGCTCAGGCAATCTGATGTTATCTCAAGACGGGTCTCCTAGTACTCGCCGGCAACAAACGGTATTATTATTATTATTAATCACAAACGGCCAAACCCGTATCGCCGGCTCTCTCTTCCAACCGAAATGAATAAGATACACATACTCCCTCCGAATGCTTAGCTTCCTTCTTCGAGCTACCTAGGTAGAGCTCGCCTGGGGGCAGCGACCCACGTCCGTAGCAACTCGCCGCACGTCAAACAACTATTGAGGGAGAACCGACCGATCGGCAACCTCCCTCTTCCTCCTTTTCTTCAAAGGCCGCATCGTCGCCTACCGGATCACAGTCGCTATCTGTCCTCGGTGAAAGATTCCACCTCCTCGTGGAATCACAGTCAAGTCTGTCCACTGCGTGAGTCGACTAGACTGATCAATTCTGGCTCGGAGGCGACTTTCTTCATGATCTTGGACTGCGAACAATTGATCGAAGTAGGCCAGCTAGAAAGACTCACAACTGTGACCGCCAGAGTTTACGAGGCCTTCATCAAGCCGACGACTGATTTACGGATTATTTAAGACCGTCTATCATTGGTCTGATAATACTGAAGTCTTCAATCGCCGATTCCCAGAAAGACAGCCCCGATACTACCTCGATCGATCGCGCAAAATATTGAGCTTCGATGACAGCGGCAGTATTTTCCTCTTTAGAAACTCTCCCTTCCCCTCAGAGAGAAACTTCAAGTGCAGTTACCGCGGAGACGAATTCATCGAGAGTCCTCTCTTGGCCCGGCATGTTGAGGGCAACCATGATGACCCCTTATTCGACAAGTCGCCGGCCGAAATTCTGCAAAGGGAGGATAAGCGATCGAACGCATCAAGAATACAATGTACTGGATGCGAAAAGCAGTTCTGTGAGCAGGACAAACTCCAAGCGCGTATGTTCGTATACGACGGCAATCACGGGCGATCTCATCTAAGATCGCCTCATTTCCTCTTCGATTCAAACTTCCTGTTTCCATCATCGGTCCACGATTTCACGGATGAATTTATTTCGACCTCCTGTTCAGAGTCGACCGATAAGCATCAGAGAATTTTTGCTCTCAGAAACCGAAAAGTTCGAGTTTGCAAAAGACGGTGTCTCACAGAAGCTCATTCGGAACAACACATGAGTTCACACGAGCGTGACGGGGAACGATACTATTGTGATCAGTGTGATAAGATGTTCGCTAAGAAAACCAATTACAACCTGAAACTGCACTCAGAAACCCTACGGCTGTGACGTCTGCCACAAGAAATTCGCAACAAATCAGTATCTCCAGATCAATCATCGGTCTCCCTCAACCGGCAAGCCTTTCGTATGTGATATTTGTGGACGGGGATTCCAGTTCAATCACGTTCTGGTGGACCATGTGAGAACTCGCACTGGGGGAACTCCATGCGTACGCGAAGTATGCGGAATAAGCTTCGAAGTGAAACGTACGTTGAAACGCCACATGAAAATGATCATGAGCGTCTCGATGAGCGACCGCACACCTGCGATGTATGCAATCGTGGTCAGGTCGACTTTGGGGGAACACATGGAGACTCACAGCCATGGAAAACCTTATCAGTTTAATCTCCGCGGTCTTGTGTACAAACGGAATGTCGAGTTCAGGCACGCCTGTCCTACTTGGACAGGCGTGCTTGCCTGTCAAAGTAAACTGAACCCAGATCAGACCATTGAATAAGCCCAAGGAGCCGTACCGGCCGTTCCGGCTATCCCGTTAGCGAGAACAGCCGAAAGCGCGACTATAATACTTCAGTTCATGACTAGTCAAACGAGCGGCCATTCCGGGAGGTTTATGAATTTGTGAATACGAACGGTTTGGCTCGGATCCTTTGCGAGAAGCAGACTAAGATACAATAAGTTCTTCAGTCGAAAGTCGACGAGCATGCAGTTCAAAGGAATCGTTCTGAGAGCTGGTAATGTTCTTAGCTCATACCATTCTCTGCTGGATAAAAAAGTGAGATACTAGAGGAGATCGCTTAATTATTCTCCCACCACAGGAGCTCTGCGAGAATGTATGTATGTAAATAAATGAGCTGTTACGATAGGTGAGCTTGAATTTATTTTCGCCTCCCCGCTATCACTATGTCAGCACGGGCGGAAGGACTCAGAGAGACATCGCCCCAGTTCTCCCCAGATGATAGCCAAGGTAGCGCGGAGGCTAGGCATCGTGTGGAGGGTGTTTCGATAACATTCGCGCTAAGCGAAGATCGTCGTCATCATCATTAATTTACGTGCTGGGCTCTCGCTGGCAGGAAACACTGTCCATCTCGAACGCAATCTCGGAGAGTCCTTGCGCTCGATTCAATTGTCGTCGGATCCCACATCCGTCTCAAAGTCGTTCAAAATGACCCGCAACCGTCAGTCATCTTGACGCGCTCAAAATTTCGCGATATGGAGGAGTCTCTCACGAACGAAGGAATCCATTTCTCTACTCCTCTGTGAAGCTGATCTTCCGGCATGCTCTTTGCTGAAATGAAAGTCGCCCACCAACTCGCTCCGCCGCACCGGGATCTCGGGGAACGCACATAAGCTCACTGGGGTCGGTACTACTGGAGTCATCTTAGTACTTAGCGGATACCCGCCCTCGCCGATGAATAGCACTACATCGCATCGCGTTTCTCAGTTTCGTTTCTTTTGCGCGAATTCGGGATCATGATGCGGTCCAGCGACTTAGTCGAATTAGATCGAGAAGCCTTCCGCGTTCTTCATTTGTTCCTCACGAGTCTCCGGAATCGATCACCGAAAAGCTGCTCATTCCTCTCGAGCGACTTTCCTCACCCGTGGACTTATTCTCATTCATTTACTCAAATCAGCATATGTATTGTCTTACAGCTACGAGCTCAGGAAGTCCTCAGTCCTCACCTGGAATAGCTCTCGGTGGCAGTCCCCACCAGATTGCTTGATCATGACAGCTTTGGGGTCGTAGGCGAAAGCGAGTTTTTATGATATGCAGACCCCCTAATCGCTAGCCCGGAAAATGGTGGAAATCGAAATGAAATGCTAGAAGATAGCTCGAATGCCATCACGTCTCACATACATGATTGAGAACGCGAGGGAGGAATAGCTGAAAATCCACGGCGGATCCGTCGAGAGATTGGAAACGAGCTTCTGAGTGCGCGGACGCGCGGAATCATGTTGAGATAGTGATCATCACCAGATCTTGTATGCTGGGAGTTGTCGTTCAGAACAAAGACGCGAAATCATCATTATGATTTCTGCTTACAGATCCTGTAGCGAAGCAATTCCCCCGTCAGAGCTTCTAGCATTTCGAGAGACTGAAATCGATCTCCTCGGTGAGTTTTCGCGCTTCTAATGAAGATGTTTCGGAAACTCCCGAGTCATCTTCGCTGTTCCCTCAGGGATGCTTTTTTCCTGATACACGTGTTCTTCTCGGATTCTTCTGCTCCGCTTCTTTCGGACACCCGCCCGGGAGCGCGTCGTCTATTTCGTAGATTGCGAGAGATTCAGACAGCCTTTCATGACCGTCTATCTATTTCTGTCTCTGAAAGCTCCTTGAGTCTTCTTCGTGCGTTTCCAGACTTCCCCGTGGGCGTGGATCCAGGTTACATGATAGAGTCCTGGTGGCATCGAGTTAGCGGAGTCGAGTACAAAGAGAGGTCTAGAGGTAAGCGTTCTGGGGAAGGAACGCTGCGCGGTTTCTCTGACTTTTGCATTCAAGAAGTCTTCTGAATTGTGGCGATCGGTCGAGTGAGGCCTTCAGGCGACTTGATTCCATAGAGATCGAAGCGGAGAAACATGGCGTGACTCGACGTCGCTCGGATTCGATGACCGATCTCGGGCTCGAACTTCGAGAACAACTTGACCGTAAACTTCGATACCTCGATTGAAGATTCGATCTTCTGGGCTATTTATAGCCGGCCCAATCAGTTACAGCCTCATAATTAGCCACAATCAGCGCCAGATGTATCTGAATATCTGTGTAATATATGCATAAATGTATCTATATATATAAAATTGAATGTCCACTTGTCCGTCATGGTCGCCTATTCTTGGAAACTAAAGGTAACTTAGTCTTGGA